TTTATTCTATTTAAACTATTACTGTTAATTATACAAAGAAATACACACCATTGGTTTTTCTTAACAGTTCCACCAGATACGAGGCTTCCTCTTGAATTCGGTCTTCAATAGTTTTCTTCCCCATCCCCATATTCCGCAAAACCATGAGGGAGAAACGCCGGGTGTGCTTCCACTTTTTTCCATTGCTGAAAACAATGCCTATCCAGGACAAAAGAGATAGAAAGATGATGATGATGATGAAATAGATAGATGATAGATAGATAGATAGATAGATACTGTCCTTCATTGTCACAATTCTGAGATTACTCATCTCAAGAAATGATGCTGACAGGTAAGCAGGGATGTAAATATGGTGGTGGCAGCTTTCCAATTATTTAAAAAAAAAAAAAGAATTTCCATTGAGCCCTCTCCTTACTTGCCTCTCTGCTGAAACCAACCTAGAATTTTATTGTCCAGACTCTTGATTTTATATAACACTAAGCTCTTTTCACCCATCAAATGCTTAAACCCCAGAATAACTCTGCAGACTATTTTGTCTCCATTTTACTGACAAGGACAAGAAAAATTCTGCATGTAGAATTCTGGCACTATGATCACACAGCTGCGAATCATGGTGAACTCAACTCATAGGTTAAATTTTCACAGCTGGCTTTTCTGATCGTGAGTTTTTGGAGAAACAACAAGAGGAGACAATTCTCAACAGAAGGTGAGACAGCAGTTCTGCGTTGGAAGGAATCTGGTAACAACCTACTGCAGTCATTGACTGATAACTCTTCTCATTTTAATATCCCTCCCTACTTGTTAATTCTCCCTATGCAAAGTGGTCTTAGCACCAAGGAAGCTCAACCACAGAGTTCTAGGAGATCAGGAGAACAATAAATTCATGAGACACTAGCCCAGGAAGACTCTCAGAGAACAACACAGAAGAGATGACCCCCATTCATGTTTTCTTTCTTTTTGTCAGAACCTAGTGATCTACCAGAGTTCTGAACGATTTAAGGCCAGCTCCAGACAAGTGGAAATAGTTCAAGTACTTAATAAAAAATTCCTTTTCTAATATAAATTCCAATCCATACTCAGTCTGTGTTTCTCCATGACCATCTTTTCAGAGCATATCTCTTTATTTTGTTGTTGTTGTTGTTGCAGTTTTTGGCTGGGGCTGGGTTTGAACCAGCTACCTCCCATATATGGGGTCAGTGCCCTACTCCTTGAGTCACAGGTGCGGCCCCAGAACCTATGCTTTTTCAGGACAGAAGATTAAAGGTGAGGCTCAAAATAGTTCAAACCTATGTTGTTTCCATGCATACTTCCTAAAATAGTGTCTGGGGATCCATGATTCAGACCAGGAAGCAAGATGTTTGGTAATAAGACAACTTAATCATTTTCCTCTTCTCTCTTTGCTCCTTGCCTCTTTCTCACTATCTTAAATGGGCAGGATTTAAAATAAAGGTGTCGTAGTCACCGATTCAAAGATCATTAGTGGTTAGATGGTTTACTTTCACTGACTTTAATATTTCATTGCAATATTATATCCCTGTCATACATTTTAAAAATGAATTAATGATCTTTTATAGAAAAATTATTCACAGGCTTATGTTGGAATTATAAAAGGCGTGAGCTACAAATTTCTCTAAGTGCTTATAATTTCTCAATTTCTTAGCCTGTTTGGAGTCTTCAAATTTACGAACTCACACACATTCTCCAAGACACGCATACCTAATCCTTGAGTGATGTTTTCTACCACTGGAAAACTCCCTCTGTCAGAGAATTCTTCTGCTCGATCAATCAGGGCTTCCTTCACTGCTTTGAATCCATGGAACACCACAGTGGGCTTCAAGCCAAAATATACAGTGAACACAGGGCCATAGTCTTTTGCTAGCTGGAAAAGAAACAAAAGAGGGGGAAAAAGTGAGAATTTCCCAACAGAAATGTAAATAAATGAGAGAAATATTTTTAATCTCACTGAAGAGATATTTTAAAATTCATCCACCTATTATAAAAGATTTCAACTTTTAGAACCAGCTTTTTTAAACCAACTTTTAATCAGAATGTACATTATTTAAATGATAATTATCACATTATTAGTAATATTGCCATTATTATTATTATCATTATCAACAGTTATTCTTTATTTAGCCCTTATTGGGTGATGAGAGCTGTATTATGTGTCAATTATTTGGTTCCTACTATTTTATTAACTTCTTCTATCAAACGAACAACTGTATCAAATTTCTCCTTCCTTCCTGTAGTTACAATAACTGCTGTTTTCTCCTCCTATTTAAGGAAAGCCCCCCCCACTTGCCTCAGGTGGAGACTAAGAATTGTCTCTCCTTATCCATTCTCCTTAACTTGTTTACAGTACCACACACTTCTATATTTTAATAATACCTGAGAACCTAGCAGCCTGATCATAGGCATTTCTCAACTTCCCTTGAAGCTACATGTGGCCACGTGGTGAAGCTTCTACCAACTAATGTTAGCAGAAGTGATGTGTACAAATTCAACATCATTGCATAAAAGGTAACTGTTTGCCCTTCATTTCTTCCCCCACCTATGGGTTGAAATGATAGGATGGAGCTGTGACCACACAAAGGAGAACAATAGCCTAGAGTCACAAGACAGTAGAACTGCAAGACTGAGAAAAAATATTTCTCTGAATTATCTCATAGAGGAGAGTCTTGCTATCAGCCCCCACCTGTAAACCATTATGTGAGATAGAAATAAGCTTCTATCTTCTTTTATCCAGTGTGAGGCAGTATGGAAACAGGACTCAGTCTTCACTTCAGACCTAGGGAAGCAACATGGAGCAGTATGACTCAGCCTAATTAATTGAAGAAGGAAAAAACAAAAATGTTCTCCTAGCTGCTGGAATTTAGCCCATATTCATTTATGGAAAACATTGCTAGGAGAGCGGGAAGTCCGGCTTCCAGCTAGGAACTTTGGTACTGTCAGCAACCAAACAGAGAATTAAATATGGGTGATATTGAGAAAGGCAAGGAGATTTTTGTTCATAAGTGTGCCCAGTGCCACACTGTGGGAAAAGGAGGCAAGCACAAGACTGGGCCAAATTTCCATGGTCTCTTTGGGAGGAAGATGGGTCAGGCTGCTGGCTTCTCTTATGCAGATGCCAATAAGAACAAAGGCATAACCTGGGGAGAGGACACACTGATGGAGTATTTGGAGAATCCCAACAAGTACATCCTTGGAACAAAAATGATCTTCACTGGCATTAAGAAGAAGGAAGAAAGGGCAGACTTGATAGCTTAACTCAGAGCAGCTACAAATGAGTAATAATTGGCCATTGCCTTATTTATTACAAAAGAGAACTATCCCACAGCTTTTTTTTATGTGGATCATAATTTGATTGGTCTCATTTACCAGAATTCCGATCATGAATGAGTGATAGAATATTTTTGTTGGACAGTCCCAGTTTAATTAAGACTGGCTTGTGGTTAAATGAATATGATCGGTTTTTTGGATTGATAGTGATTCCAGTTCAGTAAATGCTATCACTGTTTTCCATTTCTAAAGATATGTTCAGATTCAATCAGTGATGTTTACCTTTTCACAAAAGTAGTCAATTGCCATCCCAAAGCCTATTGAAGATTGGGTTTATATTAAGATTTATATAAGTGATTATGTGAATATATTTAAATACTGGGGAAATCCCCTCACTGTCTCAGAACCACGGAAGACTCACTGATGTTTTAATTGGTGTTCATTAGCCTGTTAAAGGTGAGGGCTGGAGAGAAGGTAGCAATGCTTACTTTGTACTTTTGATCTTTATTATGCCAATCTAATTTCCCTGGATCTACTAAAATGCTGCCTTTTATTTATTGAAAGGCATTTTAGTGTGGTTTATGTGTAATGTCAAATAAAGAATATTTAACATTTATTTTATAGACAATCTATAAGGTCATGCTTTTAAAGTCAATGTGTCAAGAAATGGCAGATTAAACTTTTGAATTATTTACTACCTAAGTCAGGCTAAGTTATAATTTGGAATTGTCTTTCCACAACTCTTCAGAAATACATAAAACTGTGTAACAACTGTATGTGTGTGACTGGTAATGGTGCTTTTGCCAACTTATTACATGGATTAAAATAGAAGAGATATACACAAATTTTAAAATTATGTGTGATTATAACATAATTAAAAACAAAAATCACAGATCACACACACACACAAAAAAACATTGCTCAAGATTCAAATGGCGCAACCATCTGAATCTTGAGCAATATTTTCCATGGCTACTAAAGCAAGATTCTAACACCAGCTGATTAAGGAACTGTGCCTGCAAAAATCCAGATCTATCCAGATCTAACCACTCAAGCCAAATAGTACCCCCACACTGACCTCATCCTGACTTTTCCTTTGTTATAATCTCATTTTAATGCTAGAAATCAGGCCCGAGACTTAACATGCTAATGAGACATAAAATCCATGAAGAAACATGTAGGTAGGAGACTATGCAGACACAAGAAAATCTCCACCTCTGTATGCTCGCTTGTCACCCTTTTCCTAATTTTCTTTAAAACTCTCCATGAATCCCCTGGGAGCCAGGCTGATGATTTTCCCTTTGTGCTACCTCCCTGAACATGACCCTCAATAAAGCCTTGCTTATGATTCCCATTAGACCTCGTATTAATTTCTATTACATAGAGAGCCCACCAGCCCGCACTGATAACAAAGGTATTGCTGGGGTCTTCCTTTCAATTCAGCTTTTTTGGTATCCCAACTGACAAAGGACTTAGGCTCTATAAATTTGTCTAATATTGGACTCCTCTTGTCATCCTACACTTTGTTCTCCATAAGGCAACCAGAGTGCTCTTCTCACAAGGCAAATGCTAACACTACGGTCCTTTAAGCCCATTTATGGCATCACATTGCTGTTATGCTAATCATAATAGTTCTAAAATCCTCGCAAGACCTGCATGCTCTGGCATTCTAACCATTCTTTAGATCTGAGCTCCAATTTTATTTCCTCAGAGGACCCTTTCTGACTATTCCTCCCATCTACCTCGATCCAAGCTCCATGGCCTCCCTCTACCATGTCGTGTTACATAGATTATAACCATACCCTTATTTACATGATTATTTCATAAATAAATCCTTCCCCTCTAGACCAGGGATCCTCAAACTTTTTAAACAGGGGGCCAGTTCACTGTCCCATAGATCATTGGAGGGCTGGACTGCGGGCCCCAGGACAATTTGGCTGCTAAGCAGGACAGGCAGCGGCAGTAAAACACCCAGCGGGCCGGATAAATGTCCTAGGCAGGCCACATGTGGCCTGTGAGCCATAGTTTGAGGACACCTGCTTTAGACTGTAAGCTCCATAATGAGAAGGTCTTTTTAAATTTCATTCACCATTGAAAATCTCCTGCATACATCTAACATAGTGCCTAATGCAAAGTTGGTATTTAATCATTTGCTCAAAAGATGATATACTTAAGTAACCAGTGCAGAACTATTATTATTTACATCTCAAAAAATGAAAATTAAAGCTCAGAGATATTTACAAATTGCCCAAAGCTGTGGATTAGCAAATGGATGAGCTGAGGTGATGACATAATCTTGGAATCCAGAGCGAAAGCCCAGGAAAAAGGAGCTCCCAGGGACAGTGCTCTGGAACTATTTGGCTATCTCAGGGAAAAGACAGATTTCCATAATTTCAAGTTTCAGAGGTACCCCTATTTTCTTATTTTCTGACCCAACTGAGAATACTGCATAATAGATAGCTACCATTATATGCCCCCTATTTCTTAGCACTAACTTGATCATCTTTGCCAAGAAAATAATCATACCCTTCCCTTTTGTTTAGTTTCCTCTCAGCTCAGTAGAAATATTACTAGCCCTTATTGCTGTTATTTTAATACACTAAAGATCTATTCAGGAATACATCCCAACTCTTGTCTTACGTCTTATCAAATTCAGCAACTCCTCACCACAAAACAGTGCTCCAATATAAACACACAGGTTGTGAATCCTTGGTTACTACAATCCCTGAAGCCCTATCATGACACTCTAAGTTTAACCTGTACAACCTGTCTGGAGTCCTCTGTGCACCTCCAGGACATCTATTTATTTAGGGGGTTACCAGGGAACCCCTGAGCTTATGATCACATTAATAGCATATAAGGGGAACTTGATTTGTCTATAGGGCTACTCAGTCATTCCTTATCGAACATTTAGATCTGTCAAAAACAAGCACTGGACTAGCTCTCTAAAATGATTTACTTGATTTAGAATGTCCACATATCAACTTTAGGGATTCACAAAGCAGTAAATGCCTGGATACTGAGAAGATGAGGCTAGGTATTTCTTCAGGTTGAAGAACTGTACTCTTCATTTTGGTGGGGAGTGACATTATGCAAACAAATAACTAGAAATCTTTCTTCACATTTCCAATACTTGCATATAAAACAGTGTTGACAGTGGCCGCCCAGCAGAAAAGTTGATTCCTTGACTTAGGTTGTTTTCTTAAAGAATGAAACTGCTCTTGACTATAGAGCAGTTGAGCAGGGTAGAGTTTGTGCAATAGCAAACACAACTTTGTGTGTGGGTGTGTGCAAATGCCTCAGCTGAAGAGGAAACTCCCTTTGATAAAAGCTGACAATAGGCCATCTGGCTTCAGCAGATTTTTCCAGAAACCCAAGAACTATCTGATTGGTTCTCTGGACTTTCCACATAGATACTTTGGGGCTTTCGATCAGTTCCATAAGGACTTTTAAAATTAAGACTTTTACTTTCCTAATAGGACTTATAATCTACCTCAGAGTTCACTATTCACTCAAATGCTACACTAAGACTATAAATAAGAACATTGACATTTTTATAAGGAAGACAGAATCTCCAGCCTGGTACTCATGAATATGTACAGGCCACTGCAAGACAGTTTGATTCCCCTCATCCTGATTATAACCCCCTCTGCACCCTCATCAGCAGGAAGAAGCCAGAGTGGGTTCACCTGATTCCCTCTTCATTGGTTCACATCTCAGAAGTGAGGAATAATCAGAACTGAGGACTGAAACCATTTCTGAGAAACTAAAAAATAAAATAAAATTTAAAAATGAACAAACATATAGGCCCTGAATAAAACCACAGACAAGCACTAAACAGCTTGCCCTCAACCCCCTACCCTACAGCTGCTACTGCTCATATAGACCCTGCCACAAGGTCCTACTTCCCCTCAATTGTATCTAGAGATAACATCTTTAACATTAAGAAACCTTAAACTTGTCTATTTGAGATGTTTTCCAGATCCTTCAATCCAGTCGGTGCACTGGTGCCAGCCAGTCTGAAGTCACCCTCTGAGCAACTGATTGAGAAAAAGGATGCAGTTTTGACACTCTCATGATTTCCTCCCCCCTGCCCTAACCAGTTAGTCACTCCACCTCCTCAGCCTTTTACTTGCCAAAAGGCTCTTGAAAATTCCAATCCAACCTGGATGTGGCAGATCATGCCTGTAATATCAGTGACTCAAGAGGCAAAGGAGGAAGGATTGCTAGAGGCCGGGCCTTAAAGACTACCCTGAATAACATGAGGAGACCCCATTTCTAAAAAAAAATAAGAAAATTAAGGGCAGATGATAGCACAAGTAGTCTCAGCTACTTGGGAGAATCTCTTTAGCCCAGGAGGTTGAGGCAGCACTGAGCTACACCACTACACTTCAGCCCAGGTAACAGAACAAGGGCCTGTCTCTTAAAGAACAAGAACAAGGAATAGAACAAGGGCCTGTCTCTTTTTTGTTCTCATAAAAACAAAAACAAAACACTCAGACGAACACCTTTTGGGAAGGCTAATTTGAGGTACCTTTTCATGTCCTCTTTCAACTGCCTTACAATTATTAAGCTTCCTGATAATACAATTATTGTCACCTCCCCCTATTTCTGTGTATTGGTCTGTGACCACGCAGTGGGCAGTTGAACCTGGTGGTCCTATAGCACTATAATAAGTCATTCACAACACTCTGTTGGCTGGCACAATGACTCATACTCATAATCCTAGCACTCAGAGAAGCCAAAGTGGGAGGATAACTTGAGTCCAGGAGTTCAAGACAACCTTGAGCAAGAGTGAGACCCCATCTCTACTAAAAACAGAAAAAATTAACTGGGCATGGTGGTATGAACCTGTAGTCCCAGCTACTTAGAAGGCTGAGGCAAGAGGATCACTTGAGTCCAGGAGTTTAAGGTTACAGTGAGCTATGATCAGACCACTGAAAATCATATCTGTGTGTCCACTGGTGTCTAGAACAATATTTTATTTGGTTATAGGGCCATCTTATTTACTCATTGCAAACAACTGAAAGAAAATTAATCACACTTACCATGCTTATGCATTTGCTGATGTTCTTAGTATTTATCTGTAGCATATTTCCAACAATTGGGAGAGGAGTGGGGCCAGGTGGCAACTTTCCTTTGCCATAGCTTGCATTCCACAGAGAAAAAAGAATCAAACAAGACAGACAAATCACCAAGACAATGAAGAGATCCATTGATGGGCTTTGTGTAAATGCAATTGAAAACAGGGAATCCAAAGGTTTATAAACACGGGTGCAAGCTTATCTCTAAATACGAATTCAGACTTTGAAATTTGAATAAGCATTTTTTATCTTTGGTACCCTTTGGCCTGTTGGTAGAAATAAGAACAAAATGAGCAATTTAGTATTGCTTAATTCCTATGTTTCTGTGGATTAATTAGTATTGATTATTATGTTTCTAACTAAAAAACAACTCTCATTTCTTTAGATGTAGTGCCTTAGTGGAATATTTGAATAGTAACAGGGAAGACTGTCAGATTAGCAAAGGGCTAACCATGAACCATGGAGTTCATGGTCTCAACAAATGATTATAAGGAATATCTCGGGGCAGTGCCTGTGGCTCAAAGGAGTAGGGCGCCGGCCCCATATGCTGGAGGTGGCAAGTTCAACCCAGTCCCAGCCAAAAACTGCAAAAAAAAAAAAAAACAAAGGAATATCTCATGAGTCAAAATCTATCATTATATGAGCAAAACAAAGAAGCCCTCTCTTTCTGTTCCCAAGAATCAGTGGCATTACAGGAAGCCAGTCTTACCTTAGATAATAGTAGAACTATTCCAAAACTCCGGACATAGCCCTGTTCCATAAGGTAGAAATAAAAACATTCCCAATGGATATGAAGCCTAAATAAACAGTAGACAGGAATCCACCAAGTCAAGAAAAGAAACTGCTCACACACAACTGAAGAAAGTCCCCAACTATATGTCATTGCCTTCCTTACACATCTGTTCCCACTGAGGGACTGGCACTCAGCACCTGCTTTCCCTCTTCTCACTTGGGTATGGAAATAATTCTGCATGGAACATTACAAATATGTGAAAATGTCTAGAAATTCAAAGATATGAATGAAACTTCAAGATTCAAAACTATTGAGGAAATCTGACATCATAACATAAAACTTCATTATCCTAGGTAATCCAGAATAACCTTGCCACTGCAAGACTCTTAATCACATCTGCAAACTACCTTTTACCAACCAAGGTAACACACAGACTCTGAGACTTCATGTCAAACAAACCTTCCCCTTTCTACTTTCATAAAATGTTTTTAATATTCTACTTTTTGACTTTCCATATAAATTTTTACAATAGTCTTGCCTTTATAGGCAAAAAAAAAAAAAAAAAAGAAAGAAAGAAAGAAAAGAAAAGAAAAAACTCATGGTGGGATTTTGATAGTAATCACATTAAACCTACATATCAAAGGAATTGACATCTTTGGTTTTATAGGACAGCCAGAGATTACTTTGAGTGCTTCCCACTTTTAGCACTTATGTGGGCTCTTTAGCAGGAGCCAGAAACCAAACTGACACCATGAAAATTAGCAAGAGAAAAGCATTTATTCATTTTATATGTACAGGAGAATCTTCATAGACTCCCCTGAGACAGGAGGGCAGGAAATGGTCAGAGAATCAGGGCTATGGAATTTATGAGCCAGGATTTATAAATGAAAATCTATATCTGTTCTGAAGAAGTAACCAAAGCAAAATGCTTTTAAATGTTCTAGACAAATAAAGATAAATGTTAAAAGAAATGACACAACAAAGGGGATCTGGCTAGGGGTAATAAGTTTCTAGGGAAGGCTTAGTGGAAAAATACACAAAATGAGTTTTTTCTCTGCTCTCTCATAACGACAATCAACACAAAAGTCTTCTATGACCAAATATGGGAGTTTCTTCTGACGCACCAAGCAAGCAATCAGTTCTGCAACAGATACAAGTGGGTGTCCTCCAATTCAATTCTGACACTATCTACCTGGACTTAGCAGCAGATTCCATGGGTTGAAGGCTCTGTCCCCAAGACTGGTCCCCCACCCTCTGTCATACAACAGACACAAGGCCAGGCCTCCAGAACTTCTGACCGATCACATTCAAGTTGAAGTTCCATGTTCTCCTTTAGGTTTGGTTAATTTGTTTGAACAACTCACAGAACTCAGGGAAACACTTATTTTTGCCACTTTATTACGAAGGATATTACAAAGGATACAAGTGAAGAGATGCATAGGGTAATATATACATATAGGGAAAGGGGCACCCCCTCACACCCTCCACAGGCCCACCGCCCTCCAGGAGCCTCCATGTGTTCAGGCATCCAGAAACTCTCCATATCTCATCTCTACCCATATCCCATCCTCTTAAGCCTTTTATGAATACTTCATTGGGTAGGCAAGATTGAAAACCATGCAGAAATGTTGATTGAACAACTAATTGAATACTAATAGACTGGGGAGGGAAACCCAGAAAGACCTGTCTATTCAGATCTTTCCTGGTCTCACTATACACCATGCCTTCCTCCAGTGTGTGGGGCAGGACCCTCTTTGGAATGGACATCCTAAGACCTACACTCAAAGAAAATAGGTCAGATACCTGCTTTGGAGAAGAGGGATTCTACTTTCTATGGCTAGCCTCAAGGGAGAACAAGGGCCAGAGACAGGAGGGCAGGAAATGGTCAGAGAATCAGAGCTATGGAATTTATGAGCCAGGATTTATAAATGAAAACCTACATACGTATATATATGTGTGTGTGTATTTATGCACATATCATAATATCACAGGGAGTCACTAGGACAGATGGGGGTGGAGCTTCCCCATTTCCACATAAATGATACTTCAGAAAATATATTTATTCAGATCCATTGCAATCCACAATTCCCAGTCTCTGGAGTTAAGGGCTATTTTCTTTTCTTGGTAGGGAGAAAGCACCTCTCACAGAGGACACTTTATGGCTTGCTCTATGCCAGGAGAAATAGGTCAGCTAGCCCTTTCTGAAACTACAATTTCATCAAGGTTTTCAACTCAAAATAATTGATATCTCAACATGGCATATTTGGGTATGTCACATGCTTCACTCCTTCATTACCTGAGTCTGAAACTTCACTAGAAGTTTCAAATATGAAAAGCTGAGTTGGTGACTGTAGAGATATAAGTCTGCAAAAGGAAAGAAGAACATAGATTGGGATGAAAATAAACAGAAAAGAACAAATTAAGCACAGTTCCACATACTCTATTAAACTAGCCGCCTATCTTTGGGAATAGGTCTATCCAGTGAAATGGTTTAGTCTCATGTATTCAATGAAGAACATGCATTTGTGTTTTAAAAGATGCAGATTAGACTTAACTGTCCTGAATGATTCACATAGAAGCAGCATTCTTCTCCAATGATCATGCTGGCTCCTTCCTGTTGGGCTGTCTATACATCTAGTGCTTGGCGATTCTGAGGTACAACAGAGGCTAAATGCTCAACTTTCTATTGAAAGTTTCCAGTGCTTGAGTAGTAATTGTGAACTCCTGTTCTGTTACTATGGAGAATTTAGAACTGCCTTTTCATTCTCATAAATCCCATTTTCTTGGGAAATAAGTTCTCAACCTTAAAAAGAACTTAGAATTGTGGTATAAAAATGGATTTTCAGTAATTACATCTTGTATGTCTGTGTGGTATTTGCATACTACCTTACAAATAAAGCCCAAGTTTATAATTTGCCTGGCACTTAGAGTACCTGGTAACAGAAGGCTCTGAGTTTCTGTCCCAGCCATCTAGGTAGCAATCCTTCACATATCTTGTCACCACATAAAATTAAAAGACCAGTGTGGTTCACAAACAAGGTTAGAGTGGAATTTGTGACAGCCCCCACCCTGCCAGGTTGGGGTTTGTTGTGCCTTATTTTCTGTCATATTGACATCTGCTCACCTCCTCTCCCCATGTGGCCTTTTGTGCCCGTAGGGACAGAACAGGTTGCTAAATACGATATGTAACTTGTAAACAAGTTACATAGGGCTGACTTAACACCCCTTTGTAATATCTGTTGACTAGGCAAGAGCTTGTCCAATAAGAGTTAGCATTATGACTGCTTATGACCTTTGTGCAAGATTTCACGAGGCCTTCTGTGGAACTGCACCACAGGATTTGATTACAATATCTCACAGGCCTGTTACCTAAGTCTAACACATTGTTTGTTTTTAATAAAAAGGGAGAGAGTACTTTGATTTTATCAGAGCAAAGGACAGTCCATGAACTCTCAAATCAATTCACCAAAAGGAGAACTAGCATGACATGGTTTTCTCAGTGGTAGGTGCCATACCTTGGCAAACATCCATTCCCCACACTTTGTCCACCAGACATTCACATTAACAGGAGCAAAAATAAGGACCGAGAGAGAGCTGTTTAATCAGTGGTAGACTTAAGATTTTATTTTTATTTCACAAAACAGTATCAATATCATAGAAATGGGAAAATTCCTAAGATATCTTAAAATCCAACTCCAGATGAAGAAACCATGGACTGTGGTAGTTAAGTGATTTCTCAAAAATCACTCTGTTATTACAATACAATTAATAACTATGCAGAGTACAAAGCATACCGGGTCATCAAAGGATAAAATTGTGACATTTGCCTCTATTCTGAATACGTTCTAGACTCAGCTACATGGAGGCTGCCAAAGTTCCTACATGGAGTGTCCAAACCCAGCCCTAATTGGTGTATCCTGCCAGTATCACTTACCTCAAAATTTCTTCATCCCAAAACCCAAAAGTGCTTTGTTCATGGGTGATGCTTCCTGTCCTCCAGGGTAAGGTCAGCTAAGTAGTCTGAGGATTGAGTCTCCTAAGTGTTTATTAGAAGGCCACATCATTGAATAAGCATTTCAACAAGAGCCTTGGGTTACTAAGAATAGATTGGAAAAAAAAAAAAAAACCACACAAATAGTCAGTAGGCTTGGATTATAGCCCTATTTCCTACTCTTTGGTATTAAGTTCTGAAAAACCTCTCAAATTTTATCTTTCTGATAACTAATTTACACAAAATAAGGGAAACGACTGTGTAACCACCAAGGTCCTTCCCAAATGGATGACTCTGAGCTCTAAAAAGGATATTAGTGTTCACCTATTTGATTGGTCCCAATTTTAAACTTTGAAGAGACAAGAACAAAAATAATTGCTTAGGAAGAAATCCTGGATCCTAATGGCTCCAATTAATTTCCTCTTCAAGTTAATAGAAC